GGGATCTTCTATTAGAATATCAGCTGGCTTCTCAACAGAAACACACCAGGCAAGAAGGGAATGGAATGAAATATACAAAGTGATGCAAAGAAAGGGAATGAATCCAAAAATACTATACCCAGCAAGGCTATCATTAAAAATTGAAGGTGGAATCAGGAGCTTCACAGACAAAAAAGGGCTAAGAGAGTTTATTACCACCAAACCAGCAATGCAAGAAATGCTAAAGGGACTGCTGTAAAAAGAAGAAACAGGAAGACAAGAAGAAACACAAACATTAAGAATAAATATGACCACAAACAAGTACTTTTCAATAATAACATTAAATGTAAATAGTTTAAATGCTGCAATCAAAAGATACAGTGTAGCTGAATGGATAAGAAAACATGACCCATATATTTGCTGTCTGCAAGAGACCCACCTCAGAACAAAGGATTCACACAAACTGAGAGTGAATGGATGGAAAAAAATTTTTCAGGCAAATGGAAATGAGAAAAAAGCTGGGGTTGCGATACTTATATATGACAAAATAGACCTCAAAGTAAAGGCCATAACAAGAGATAAGGAAGGCCACTACATAATATTAAAGGGAGCAATTCAGCAATTCAACAAGATATAACTCTGGTAAACATATATGCACCCAATACAGGAGTACCCAAATACATAAAACAACTTCTGGAAGATATCAAGGGAGAGATCAATAGCAATACAGTCATAGTAGGTGACTTCAATACCCCACTGACACCACTGGATAAATCCTCTAAACAAAAAATCAGCAAACAGCAATCCTAAATGACTCACTAGATCAGATGGACTTAATTGACAACTTCAGAATATTCCACCCCAAAGCTACTGAATATACATTCTTCTCCAGTGCACATGGGACATTTTCAAAGAGAGACCATATATTAGGACACAGGCAAAGTGTCTTCAAATTCAAGAGAATAGAAATCATAACAAGCATCTTCTCTTATCACAATGGCATAAAATTAGAAATCAACAACAATAAAAACATTGAAAAAAATCAAACACTTGGAGGCTAAATAACATGCTATTAAGCAATGACTTGGTTACCAGAGAGATCAAAGAAGAAATAAATAGCATCCTGGAAACAAGTGACAATGAAAATACTACAATCCAAAATCTATGGGACACAATGAAAGCAGTCCTGAGAGGGAAGTTCATCGCTACAGGCCTACCTCAAAAAACAAACAAAAAAAACTGGCAATAAATGATCTAACCCTACAACTCAAAGAGTTAGAAAGAGAGCAACAAGAAAAGCTCACAGTATCCAGAAGGAAGGAAATAATAAAGATCAGAGCAGAAATAAACAACATAGAGACCAAAAAGAACAATACAAAAGATCAATGAAACCAAGAGCTGGTTCTTTGAAAGGATTAACAGGATTGATGAACCTCTAGCAAGGCTCACCAAGAAACAAAGAGAGAGAACTCAAACAAAATCAGAAATGAAAGAGGTGAAGTAACAACTGATCCTACTGATATACAAAGGATTGTCAAAAAATACTACGAACAACTCTACCCCAACAAACTGGACAACCTCGATGAAATGGACACATTACTAGAAAAATACAAGCTTCCAAAACTCAATCAGGAAGAGTCATAAAACCTGAATAGGCCAATAATTACTGATGAAATTGAAACAGTAATCAAAAAGCTTCCAGCAAACAAAAACCCTGGACCAGATAGCTTCACAGGTGAGTTTTACCGAACATTCAAAGAAGAACTAAAGCCAATCCTTCTCAGACTATTCCAAAAAATTTAAGAGGAAGGCACACTCCCAAGCTCTTTGTATGAAGCCAGCATTACCCTAATCCCAAAACCAGATAAAGACACCACAAAGAAAGAGAATTACAGGCCAATATCCCTGATGAATATAGATGCTAAAATCGTCAACAAAATTCTAGCAAACTGGATGCAGCATTACATTAGAAAGATCATACACCATGACCAAGTGGGATTTATTCCAGGAATGCAAGGCTGGTACAATATCCACAAATCAATAAATGTGATACATCACATATACAAATTGAGAGACAAAAATCACATAATCATATCGATTGATGCAGAAAAGGCATTTGACAAAGTCCAACACCCTTTTCTGATAAAAATGCTCAGCAAAGTGGGAATAGAGGGATCATACTTCAACATAATAAAAGCCTTATATGACAAACCTACATCCAACATCATACTCAATGGGCAAAAACTAAAACCATTTCCCTTAAGAACAGGAACACGACAGGGATGAGGCTGAGAGACATATGAAAACATGCTGAAAGTCACTAATCATGGGAGAGATGCAAATCAAAATGACAATGAGGTACCATCTCACACCTGTCAGAATGGCTATCATCAACAAATCAAAAGACAAATGCTGGTGAGGATGCGGAGAAAAAGGAACCCTTGTTCACTGCTGGTGGGAATGCAAACTGGTGCAGCCACTATGGAAGACAGTATGGAGTTTCCTCAAAAAACTACAAATGGAACTCCCATTTGACCCTGTGATCCCACTTCTAGGAATATATCCCAAGAAACCAGAAACACCAATCAGAAAGGATATATGCACCCCTATATTCATAGCAGCAGAATTCACCATAGCTAAGATTTGGAAACAGCCTAAGTGCCCATCTGTAGATGAATAGATTAGAAAACTGTGGTACATCTACACGATGGAATACTATGCTGCTGTAAAAAAGAAGGACCTCTTACCATTTGCAACAGCGTGGATAGAACTAGACATATGTAATACTCTTTGTAATACTTTAAGCAATAAAAAAATATATTAAAAAATAAAAGGCTAATATGTAAATTGTTCCCTTGGGAGTTCAACCGACTGGGAGTTCAACCACTCAGTATGACATGCACTGACCACTAGGGGGAAGCTTGGAACGAAGGAAGGCCCAGACAGCAGCTGGCAGCCAGGGAAAGGAAGGCCCTGGCTGATTCTGATTGCCGGCCAGGCCTAAGGACCCTACCCATGCACAAGTTTCATGCACTAGGTCTCTAGTATGTAAAAAAAAATATTAGTAAGGATATAGAAGATTTTGACAATATGGTTAACAAGCATTTAATAGAGTTATTAATGACATTCAAATGAATAACTGCAGAATGCATTATTTTCAAAGATCTAAGAAACATTTAACAAAATCAACCAATTGCTGGGCAGAATTTCAAAGACTAACCTCATAAAAGTATGTTCTCTTACTACCCTAGATTTAAGTTAGAATTCAATATAAAAAACAGATACCACCCAGCTGGCATGGCTCAGTGATTGAGCGTCGACCTATGAACCAGGAGGTCACTTCAATTCCCCCTCAGGGCATATGCCTGGGTTGTGGGCTCAATCCCCCATGTGGAGCCTGCAGAATGTAGCCAATCAATGATTCTCTCTCATTATTGATGTTTCTATCTCTCTGTCCCTCTCACTTCCTCTCTGAAATAAATGAAAATATATTTTTTTAAAAGCTTAAGAAAAAAATACATAAATTCCCCATGAAATCTGATATTAAGGAAGATAATTATAAGTAACTCATGATCAAAGAAAAAAAAATCACAATAGAAATTAGAAACTAGAATTCAATCTATATCATAAAAATTAATATTAAAATGTGTGAAGTGCAACTAAACAGTGAAAGTAAGATAATTCAATCCTTAAATGCATATTTTAGAAAAGAACAAAGGCTGAAAAACTAAGTATTTAAGCATCTGTATAAAAAAAATGATAATGAGGAATAAATTAAATCTAAAAAAGAAAAGGAAAGAAAGAACATGGCAGAATTCAATAATTTTAAAACAAATATGCAATGTGGCATTAAAAATATGTGTTAGAAAAAAAGCAAAACAGTTCACAAATGTTTCTCTCACATCAATATTTCTCTCTGTCTTTCCTCTCTCTTCCACTCTCTGAAAATCAATGGAAAAATATCCTCGGGTGAGGAATATAGGGATCCTCAATGGGACACACTAGCCTTTATTCAGAGTGGCTGAAAATAGAAGGTCACTCACTCTTACTACTAAACTATTCACTTTCCTCCTAAAATTAACCTCTTAACACCTATAAGAAAATGTGTTAGTGAGGGGAAAAGATAAACTTAACTAAACTAAACCAAACCAAACAAACCTGAAGTGATTTCAGCACCCTCCCACACCTCAACCACAGGAAACAGATCAGCATGGAGTTGCCTTGAGATAAGATTATTAGGCACCTCCCAGAGTAGAGATGAAGTGACTTTGGGGGGAGAAGATATATTGGTTGGTCCAGGGAGAGACTTTTCAAAAGGATGGAGTTAGTAGCATCCAGGATTAGTAGTGACCAATCAGGCTTAGACTCCAGTTTAATTAATCTTAGAAAACAATGATTCTTGACTTGTACCCAGGTTGGCTTAGAGAATCCTTTGACCATTTTACTCCAATAGGCTAGACCCAGAGGTGAATGGGAAGGTTCTCTCCCTTCACCCTTTCTCAAGAACTAGGTTGGCAAAAATTCAGCAGCTACTCTAGTTTTGTATCTCAGCTGATGTGGAGACAGCAGCCTGGAAATTTCATATTTATCTTGACAGTTACCCTAAATGTCTCAGGGTAACTGTCCGTGTCTTCTGAGAAGCCACATAGAGCCAAGTGGGGCTCTAATAGAAGAAAAATCCTGTGTGGCTTTCAAATGCAGGAAGAGACATCATTCTGTCAGGCTTCTAATTTTACTATATGTTATAGTGTTAAAAAAATAAAAATACTGTTCTCTCTGACTCTGTATCTGTATTCTTCTCTCTCTCTCTCTCTCTCTCTCTCTCTCTCTCTCTCTCTCTCTCTCTCTCTCTCTCTCTCTCTCTCTCTCCTGCCAAAGCCTTGCTGAACCCATGATTGGGCTATACTTATAATTCCACATTCTATCCAAAAATTTTAAATACTCTTTTTCTTTCTTGCTTTTCTCACTCCAATCCCTTCAGTCTTCAAATCTGGTTTTCCAAGCAAAATCAAGAAACTCACGCGACTTTGGCACAGACTGTGCACTTCCAGCTGCCATCAAGGTCTGAGACCCGACACTCACTGCACACCCTCAGTGAGCAGGCCTGGCATGGGTTTCCCCGGTCAAATATTAAGCCCAGGTTTCTCTGACAGTAAACACAGACTCTGCTGGTCTCTTGTTGAATCTTCCCACTTCTATGTTTTGCTTCTAAGAGTTCATTTTTCAGCTTCCTGGAAGGAGAAGGGGAAAATAACTTTAAAAAACAAAGAGAGTAGCTACGCTATATTTAAGGATTATTTTCATTTGGAATAACATTTAAAAGAACCAAGGAGTCAGAGCCAAATAATTTCAGAAAACACAATTTCTTCCTCTAGAGCAGTGGTTTTCAACCTTCCTAATGTTCATGTGTGGTGACCCCCAATTTCATTGTTACAAATTGAACATAACTAAAGCATAGTGATTAATCACAAAAACAATATGTAATTATATATGTGTTTTCCGATGGTCTTAGGTGACCCCTGTGATAGGGTCATTCGACCCCCAAAGGGGTCATGACCCACAGGTTGAGAACCGCTGCTCTAGAGTCAACAATTTTTTGACATCAATAGTTGAAAAACATGTTTGTGTTTTACTTTTGAATTTTGACATCCTTCTTGAGCACTACTACTTTGAAATTAGTATTTATTCACATTCTACTCTAACTTCTCTAAGATCTTTGATACCATAATATTGAAGCACAACCCTAGCCTAGAGACATGCATAATATCATGTTCTTTACTTGCTTAGATATACTACATGGAGGAAGAGCGTGAAATCAAGCTTGGCAACATGGGAACTTTCCTTAGGTGATCCAATGAAGAGATTGCTATAAAGACATTACCTGCTATTTCAGATCTAAATGCTTCTTCTTATCATATGAGGGTATCCAAAAATGTCCCTTAACCTATGGGCTTTTCTGTCAGAGTGTGAATTCAAGTTGCATCATGAATTAGCTGTCCAACCTTAGAAAACTATTTACCCACTCAACCTGTGGAGCTTCATTTGTAAAATGGGGGCAATAACATTCTTATTCTTATTATATTATTTTCTGTTTTATAAAATAGTTTTAAAATATACTTTTATTGATTTCAGAGACATGAAGGGAGAGGGATAGAGAGATAGAAAGATCAATGATGAGGGAGAATCTTTGATTGACTGCCTCCTGCTGGATATCAAGCCTACAACCCAGGCACGTGCCCTGACTGGGAATCAAACTGTGACCTACTGCTTCATAGGTCAACATTCAACCATTGAGCAACACTGGTCAGGCTATTATTTTCTGTTTTTAAGGTTAAATGACATATAGGGGGGTGAGGGCATAAATGGAGGGGTCAGGGGGTAATGGGAGGATAAAGACACATATGTAATACCTTAATCAATAAAGAAATTTAAAAAAAGATTAAATGACATAACCTTGGCTTGCATGGCTAAATGGTTAGAGTAGCAGCCTAGGGACCCAAGGACTGCAGGTTCGATTCCCAGTCAAGGGCACATACCTAGGTTGCAGGTTCGGCCCCCCAGCCCTGGTTGGGGCATGAGTAAGAGTCAGCCAATTGATGTGTCTCTTTCACATCGATGTTTCTCTCCTATCCCTTCTTTCTATTCTCTCTAAAAAAATCAATGGAAAAAATATTCTTGGGTGGGCATTAACAACAACAAAAAAGATTAAATAGTATAATATATAAAGTTACCAGCACAGTTCCTGGCATATAGGTACTAAATAAATGGTATTTTCATGTCCATTTTTTCTTATTACCTGACATGTATACTTATATACAATTTATAAGATAACTATTCAACGTGTCAACGTGTGGTCCTTGTTCTGGGAGTGTCAGCATCATCTGGGAGTTTGTTAGGAATGGAGAATCTCAGGCCCCACCTCATACCTACTGGATCAGATTCTGCATTTCACAAAATCTCCAAGTGATTAAAGTTTCAGAAGCACAACTTTAGAGCATTTGTTATCGAATTTGGCTATGCACTGGAATCACCTGGGAAGATTTTAAAAAATTATACTGATTCCTGAGCCTCACCCCCCGACTATCATATAATTGGTTTATGATGTGGTCTATGCAATGATATTTTTATTTTTATTTTTTAACATATATTTTATTGATTTTTTTACAGAGAGGAAGGGAGAGGGATAGAGAGATAGAAACATTGAAGAGAGAGAAACATCAATCAGCTGCCTCCTGCACACCTCCTACTGGGGATGTGCCCACAACCAAGGAACGTGCCCCTGACCAGAATCGAACCTGGGACCTTTCAGTCTGCAGGCCGACGCTCTACCCAATGAGCCAAACCGATTAGGGCAGCGGTTCTCAACCTGTGGGTCGCAACCCCTTTGGGGGTCGAATGACCCATTCACAGGGGTTGCCTAAGGCCATCGGAAAACACATATATAATTACATATTGTTTTTGTGATTAATCACTATGCTTTAATTATGTTCAATTTGTAACAATAAAATTTGGGGTCACCACAACATGAGGAACTTCATTAAAGGGTCGTGGCATTAGGAAGGTTGAGAACCACTGGGTTAGGGCAATGGTATTTTTAAAAGTTTCCTTATTTATTCTATGTATTGCTAAATTTGGAAAACAGATGACAGATTCATTCCACTTAAATGCTTCACAGAAATATCATTCCTTTATGTTATCCATATCTAATCCCCTCTTCACCATAACATTTGTATGTTCTAGAAGAAAATACTCCCAGATTCATCTCACACATCTCATATTTTTCCTTTTACATTTGTGGAACTGTGCTTCATTATACCCAACAATACTAGCATCTCCCCAAAGGCAGGAATAATTACTTCAGTTTCTTGTATATACTGCTCAGGACCCAGTTCTGTGCTAAATTATAAGGTACTTAAATGTTTAAGAATATTTATTATTTCTTTGGGGCCTTCAAACTAACTTGTAATGTATTATGAGGCTCATGTTAAAGATTATAAGCAATATATATTAAACCAGAAACCAGGTATTTTAATCCCTAGCCTAATGAGAGATTCATAAATGGGGAATTATAAAAGTGAAGAGTAAGAGTTCCAAAACCTTTGATTGTCTCATTTATCCAATGAACATTTATTAGGTGCCTATTATGTACTAGGCATTCTGATATTCAGAGAGGAAAATAAGTCAAGCAGGATATCTACTAAGGATTCCAATTATCCTCCATATCATTCAAGTAAAGGACAAATAATGCAAGATGATTCATATGCTGCAACAGGCAGCTATACAGAACATTCTTCTCCTATCTAAACACAAATGACAACTTACAGTAGATGCTTTCTTAATCCCTAATTTAGAGCTTAGAAAGTACCTTTATGTCTTTTTTCCCCATGAGCAACTGCTCATGAATTTAAGTGTAAGAAAAGTAAATCCATATGATTTACTTTTGAAAACTTATAAAAGCTACAAGCTTTAAAGAAAAGAATGCATTCTCATTTAAGACCACAACTATATTATTTAGAGAAGCACTTCAGGGCACAGGAGAAATACTAGTAAAACATTGCCCTTTCAAAATCTATAACAATTCATGCAACAACAATAAAGAAACAAAGTGATCAAAATGGGTAGAAAAAAGCTAGCAATTTTAGACAGCAGTACTATTATCCTGATAGTCTCTTATCTCCAACGTGTGATTTATCATTCTTAAGCAAAATGCCCAAACAGCTCCAGCATAGCATCCACTTTAAAGGCAGGAATAAGGAGGAAGGTGTATAACATGAACCTGTCTCTTAACAGAAAAGAAAAAATTAACTCAAAAGTTCTCCCATCAGATTTCCCCTTAGGTTTCCTTGACCAGACAGTGTCACATCACCACCACTAGCTGCAAGGAAGGCTAAGAATGTGGAACAAGTTGGACTGCACATCCCTACCCTCTTGACATTAGATGTGGTATTGTGACTGGCATTGATCCACAAAATGTGGCATGGGATTCCTTCCAGTTAAAAACTGCAAAAAGTGAATGCTTGGTTTTCCATAAACCCTCCTCTTGGCTTGGAAAGTGGCAATGTCCCAAATAGTGTCTGCTCTGTAAATCTGGGTCCTGGTTTGAGGATGCCATGAACTATAGTCTCCAGCCATCCTGTTTTGGATGTATAGGATGAGAAAACTTTCATTGTTTTAAGCCACTAAGAATTTGGGGCTGTTATTGGAGCATAATTTAGCCTATCCCGATAAACATATAGTGTAGTCCTTCATCTGGTTGGCTCACATATATCCTTTTAACTTCAGCTTTACTGTTGCTTCCCCAGTGATGCTTTTTCTGACAGCCAAATTTATAGCAGATTCCCATCTTATTCTCGCTCATAGAAATGTGTTCTTTTTCTTCACAGCACATACCATAATTTTTAAATTATATCTTTATTTGGCTGTTTTTAACTGGTTTAATTGTCTCACTAACTCCTCTATGAGGGCAAGACTATATCTGTTTTGTTCAGCACATAAGCAGTGGCTGGAACATAATAGATAACATTTAATTAAATGAATAAGAGAAAGCTTAAGTAAAAGCTAAAAAGTAACAAGAGGAGAAAGAGAGGGACTGGGAGAAGGAAACTCAGGCATGCTGATTATTGGGTATCACTGGGCATTCCACTTAACCTCTCTGGGTCTCAGCTACTTCAATTTCAAAATGAAGATAATTCCCTTCCAATCTTCATCTGAGAGTGTTTGTGAGGGCCAGAGGCAATAAAGTATGGTAGTGTGCTTTGCAAATTATAGAAGACTTTTACAAAATAACACCATCATTATTAAAAAGAGAATGAGCCCAGCTGGTGTGGTTTAGTGGTTGAGCTTCGACCTATGAACCAGGAGGTCATGGTTTGATTCCTGGTCAGGACACATGCTGGGGTTGTGGACTCAATCCCCAGTGTGGGGCATGGAGAAGGCAGTGGGTCAATGATTCTCGTTCATCATTGATGTTTCTATCTCTCTTTCCCTCTCCCTTCTTCTCTGGAATCAACAAAAATATATATTTTTAAAAAAATAATGAGAAGCCCTAACTGGTTTGGCTCAGTGGACAGTGCGTCAGCCTGCAGACTGAAGGGTCCCAGGTTCGATTTCAGTCAAGAGCACATGCCCAGGTTGCGAGCTTGATCCCCAGTGGAGGGCATGCAGGAGGCAGCCGATCAACGATTCTCTCTCATCATTGATGTTTCTATCTCTCTTTCCCTCTCCTTTTCTC